AGCAAACGCTCTAGGTGAGGACATAATAAACCTTATGATTGCAGTCGTTTAGTGAGTGACAGAATGGGCAGCAAGCGCTCCTGTGAGGTCTATAAAATGTACAGCAGTTACGCTTAACCTAAACTGAATGTGTTTTAAGGTGTATCACCCGGTTCATCTTACAGGTTGCGATAACTGCTGGTGGGATTTAGGCTGGAATTTAAAGTTTTTTAACTCTTTGACAGACAGCCTGGTGATCAGGTGTTTTGGCTGGTTTCAGTTACAGTGGTACACAACTTGGTTTGCAAGGATCCTTGGGGCTAGACCCAAGGCAAGGAGGGTAGGCACTCGAAGCATGATTTAGGTAGATATTCCGGTATGCTGATGCAGTCCCATCTGCACTGAATTTCAGCCTCCCATGTCTCTTACCGATTCTAAATGTTGAGAATTGTTGCAAATCTATAGCTTGTGGTTAATGTATATTTTATCTATAGCTTCTGCAGAATGTCTGCTGTAAGGAGTTATGAATTTCCCTGTAAGATTCAGAAACACAGGAAAAAGGGCAAGAATGTGGCTTCTATTAATTTAAATGTAGCCGTCCTCAACGCTGGGTTCTTTCAGTTCTGAATGCTGCTGAAACTGTGCTTTCAGTGATCCTGCCTTACCTGATGCTCAGGGTGGCCTTTGTGAGTTTGGGAGAAGTCACACTCCATTTTCAGGAAGTTTGGTGTGACTCGGGGCCTTTGAAAGGGTTTAGGGAAGTGTAAGTGCAGATTTAAGGGCTTTCAAGAAGAAAACTGCATACTTAAAAGTGAAATCTATGATGCAAGAAGGTGATTCAGTAATACAGTTATGCCCAAATATGGGGTTTGCTTGATAGAGGACACAGTTAATAAATCTTGATTCAGCAAATCATTGAACTTTGACTGAGTTGGTGTTTTCCAACAGATTAGAAAAGGGGGGAAATAGCATGAGGAATAATTTGTAATGCGAATAATGGGAATTTATCTAAAAGTTAGTAGTATGTAAAAGAGGTGTGAAAGTGATAGCAGTTAGAACTTGTTTTTTAATGAGTTAACTTGGGTTCATATGTTTGAAAATGTTCTATTTGTAGAGACAAAGACACTACTACACACATAGTGACCTCTGTCTACAAATACGCTCAGCGGGGTTGTCCTGAAACCCTTCCCAAGTTCTTTACTCTGGTCCATGATTCCTGCTTAGTTCCACTTGTGGGTGAGGATGCTGGCCAAGGTTGGATTACCAGGGCATTTATTCTGATCAAGACAGGTTTTCAAAATGGACTAGGTGCTACAGTTTCTGTTTGGTTTTCTCTTGCTGCAGAGAAGGACTCTAATGTTTAGTGGCATTGATAAGCTTTATGAACTCCTGGGATCTGAAAACACGAGTTTAAGGTGATGGTTAGTCTTTGGCTAGAAGGGGACATCATTCTGTGTTTGCTACTTAAATTCATCTCTTTTGGTTGAAACTGGTGGTCTGTTGGGTGCTTTGCTCTATGATTACTTAAAGACCCCTTTTGACATAGTTTTGAATCGTGAACGTTGTACAGTTATCTCATTGGGTAGATTTTCTTGTCTTATAAAAACCACTTGATACAAATGGAAGCAGCTTCTATTTGGACTTTTATGTCTATTTTCATATTTCTGATAGGAGACACTGAGGTTTCACAGTAAGTGGCAGAAAACTGAAGTCCAGAGCAGGTTTCACAGTGGTAACGCACGTCACAGAAGGAGTGCCACTAGATCTGTAAGGACGGATGGTTCTGTTTTTCATATGCATTGCAAAGTCATTTTGTCCAAAGCTTTTCAGCTCTTCTGAAAATCAGGAAACAGATTTATGGAGTTAACTAGTTAATCTGTTTTCAGATGAATGGCTTGCTCTTCATCATCTTCCGCAAAACCAGCTTAAAATAGTCACGATGAAGAGGTGGGGTGGCCTATGTGGAGCGGTCGACACGCTGGAGGGAAGGGATGCCATCCAGAGGGAGCTGGACAGGCTGGAGAGGGGGGCCACTGGCAACCTCATGGAGGTCAACAAGGCCAAGTGCAAGGTCCTGCACCTGGGTTGGGGCAATCCTAAACACAAGTACAGGCTGGGTGGAGAATGGATAGAGAGCAGCCCTGAGGAGAAGGATTTGGGGGTACTGGTGGATGAAAAGCTGAACATGAGCCAGCAGTGTGCGCTGGCAGCCCAGAAAGTATCCTGGGCTGTATCAGGAGAGGTGTGGCCAGCAGGTCGAGGGAGGGGATTCTGCCCCTCTACTCTGCTCTGGTGAGACCCTACCTGGAGTGCTGCGTCCAGCTGTGGGACCCTTAAAATAAGAAGGAAATAGACCAGTTGGAGTGAGTCCAGAGAATTCCATGAAGATGCTCGGAGGGCTGGAGCACCTCTGCTATGGGGGCAGGCTGAGGAGGTTCG